TATTCTTTTATGCAACTTCCAATCCTTATCAATGAAGTGGGCTGTCAAACACATATAATTTATTCTTTGTAGTGAAGTCCATGTGTCTGTTGTGAGGCAAATTTTTGGTTGTGCTTCTCTAAAAGACTTTCTTAGATTTTGCTTCATTTCACTGTAAACTTCATAACAATCCCTTGTTATTGTTCTACGAGAAGGAAGACAAAATAATGGTTGAGTTTTTCTCATAAACTTCATAAAGCCTTCATTTTCTACAAAGCTAAATGGTAGTTCATCAATAACTATCATCTCAATTAAGGCCCTCCTAACAACTTCTTGTTCAAATTTCCAAATTGATCCTTCGTCATTTTGGCAAGATTGAAAATTTATCTTTGTTTAACTATTATCTTTATCAATGTTAAGTGGGTATTCTTTGCATCTAAGCAAATGATTCTTCAATCCTGTTGTTCCATTCCTAGATGAATTAGCCGCATAGGCTTGTTTACAATATCGACATCGTGCTTTCCCAACCCCATTAACCTCAAATTTATCAAAATGGTTCCAAACGTCAGACCTAGGTTGCATGGCTTTCCTTTTTTTGGAATCTTGGGTATCAATGGTGTTGGTGTTACTATCTACCGTAATAGGTAAACTTTCACTTGAACCAGCATCACTTACTCTACTTGTATCTGCCATCTATACAAAATTAAACAAATATAAACACAAATTAACAATCACGGGATACAATCATAGGCATTTAGCTATTTACAAAGTTGATCAAGGTTACAAATATAATCAAAGGGAGCAGAAAAGTGGGAGCAGAAACACCTTAATTGAATATCGTGTTTAAATACTGATTTTTAGTTCAAATACTATCTCATAATCCTAATTTGGTATCATGCCCCATTCACAGTGTTTCATATGCCAACTTAACAAGAAAGCCAAACAGATTTTAGCATGCTAGTTACCTAAGCAGACATAAGGATGAATGAAAAGAAACTGTTATAAAGTAATTTGTAAACACCTAACATAACTTATGTTTCTAGATCTAATAACCTGACAAGGAAATAATGAAGCTAGAACTAATACATTTCACAGTTTCAATACATAAACCAATCGTGGAGAAGAACATATTCATGACATGAAATAGCTCAAATCATCTCATCCTCATTCGTTATCGTGTCAAGAATTACTGTATTGAACTATTGATTGAGGGAGTTATCTGGATAGCAGAAAAATGAACAAATACAGATTACAGAACAGCACATCGCAAATTAGAACAGAACAGATACAGAATAGAACAAATCCAAAAATGGATTTTGGGGCGATTTCCGACTTCGCACTTTGCAAAGTCGAGAAGTGGACAGCAGAACAGCACAGGCAGCAAAACAGCAAAAACAACTATAGTAGATTTCGAACCCAAGAAAATGACCAGAAACACCCAATAGTACAACACTTCAAACTAGAAATCTTCATCAAATTCATTTCCATCGCTAGAAAATAGAAATCGCTAGAAAGTAGAAACATACCTTTGAAAATTGAAGACTGGGGAGTGAGGAGTCGGAGCTGCGAAGTGCGAAGTCGGAAATCCCCCCAAAATCCAAATCGCCGACGCCAAATCGTAGCAGCGCTGCAGTCTGCTGAGCTTGAGCAGATGAAACTTGTCAATTGAAATTATCGTCTTTACTCATGCCCTAACTCTAACTATTAACCAGCTAACAAAAGATGGGTGGGCTTGGGCAGTTGGGCTGGGCTGGAAATAAAATAAAGAAGGGTGGGTGGGCTTGGGCGTTGGGCTGGGGATGGGCAGTGGCCTTTTAAAAATCGGTATTTCGGTATTTCGGTTATACCGAAATACCGAAATTTCAGATTTCTAAAACCGAGTCCCGAACCGAAATACCGAAATACCAAAAATTTAGTACCGAATTAGACCGAAATACCGAAATAAACCGAAACCAAAATACCGAAATAATTCGATCCGGTTCGGAATTCGGTTTTTCGGATTTTATGCCCACCCCTACTAAAAACTGCATATCAGGTGACAAATAAAACTGGCAAATTTTAGATATGCTGGCTGTTAATGAAGGGATGATCGGAAATCCTTTTTAAGGATCCATGAACCATTGGTATTACATCCTTTTTAAGTATCCAAGAATGAATTAATAATACTCTCCGGCAGGGGCTAAATCGTGATTAAATTCTTAATCTGTACTTTTCTCGAGCATTCTGGCTCTTAGCCAAGGAAGCTGCCATAAACAGGAATTATAAGTGTTCAAGAATGGTATGTAAATAACGTCTATGGTCATGTTTAAGGAAGAGGATTCACCAAGAACTTACTTTTCGAGATGCCAATGAAGTTGCCTTTGGGATTAAGTGAAAGTTGACACTTCTGATGTAATACTGTGTTAATAAATATACTCATTTTCCATGAAACTTTGAAATAAATAGAGTTAATATACTTTTCGGTCTATTGTATTAGATGTGCGCTGATAAGATGGTAGAAGCAGTTAGAAGACGATGTTTAGAATAGGGAGGAGAAGATATTACTTTAACAGTAGAACCTGCTAAGAATATCTATTCTGTTGGAGTAGTATCTTGATTTCTTGATAGGACATAGAAAGGGAAAAGTTAATTTCTCAGAAATTATTACTCCTCTTCTCTGTAAACTACGTGCACATGAGAATTACTTTTTGCATATCGAGGTGCTTTCATACTTTAAGTTTTCCTGCCAACTCCTGCAACTAAGAAGGGCTTAAAAGTTAACTTGATTGAGCTTTTTACAGGAACAACTGAAGCATGACTTGAAATTCTATCTAATTGTTTCTATCTAGATTGCACTTGCGTGAAGCTTATTTGGAAGCTAAACTGCTTGGATAAGTTGGTAACGTGTTGCAATAAGGTTCTCAAAAACATTTGTCCTGCTGAATTTTTTTTTGTCTAACGATTAGCTAAGGCTTTAAAAAATTTCAGTTTAGATGAGAAGGAAAAGCAGAAGAGTCTCAAAGAAAGATATATGTGACAATAATGTATGATCTTTTTTTATGTTTTGGTATAGAAAAACAAGGATTTTGGAAGTGATTCACTCTTCTGTTATCCCTGCTGGCATTTGTTATTATTTCTCCTCTATTGCACTTTATGATTTTGGGATTTGTTTAACTACCTAACTTCTATGGTGCCGACTGGCGAGTGATTGTTAGCTCTTTTCTCGGTATACATTCCCTTACTTGCACAAAGGGATCAAAAACGGGTAAGCTTTTTAGTTGCTTGCTTATCTTCTTCTTTTTTTCCTTTGATTAACTCACCTGCATGTTGTTTACACCGTATAAAAATTGATGTCGACTGCTCCACTTTTAGATAGAATGGTATTTGCGGATTCCTTGAGTATCATATGACCCTTGAAGTAGCACAATTTTATTCATTAGTCTAATAAAGCAGAGTTTCTCCATATTTAGCTTATAGAATGATTTTCCTGTGTGTTTAGACAGAGAACAATTTATACACTAAATTAAATTGAATTACAATGTTCGTTTGGTTATATTTTCAGCGATTTTATCTTTTCTAAAAGTGCTGCTCATAGCTTCTTCTTTTTGGCTTTCTCCTGTCTCGCTTTTAACAGCAGCAAGTGGGTAATGATTTATCATGGAAACAACTCAGTGAATTTCATGTTAGTTGATATAATACTTCACCTACATGAATATTGTTTATAACTGTCAATTCTTATAATAAGATAGAGGCTCTTTTGAGTTATCTTAGCTTTAGAATAGTTTACTGCATTTTGTTACAACACAAACTTTCATTAAAAAGAACAGATTTTTAATCAAGAAAGTAGCAGAAATATGTCAAAATAGCAATAAAACATTTCAATAGTCAAGAAAAATAGAACTTCAGAAGCTTGCATTAGTATCCCATACAAGAACAACATGTAAATGCGAGAGAAATAATGAACAACTGATCACTTCAAGATCTAGAATAGCAGCCTTCCTTGCAGGATCAAGAACCTAACAAATAAAGCAAATGAATAAGCAAAAACCCAAATTCTATGATTAAATTTATAGTGAATTTTAACATATTTATACTGCTTAAGTCACCAAAAAATACCCGAAAAGAAAAAGAGGAGAAGTGGGGTGACATATGAATAGAATATGCAGCTTACTTTTCAACATAATATATACTTGTGCACAAGCAGTTAAGCGCAAAGCTTTAGTTAGTAGTAGTAGTTACCATATGGAAGCAGCAGAGGTTTTGAATGGCTTAACATGACAATAAGAAATAATGAACTATTTTTGTGAACTATTTTTGTGGAAGTTACCATATGAAAGCAGCAGAGGTAAAATAATGAACTATTTTTGTGGTCAACATGACAATAATTTATCGCTTTCCTCAGTGGCTTTGACAGTAAGATACAAAAAGTTTACTTTGCAAATTGTGAATTTATCTTTCTTTTTCCTTCCATCTCCCATATGTGTTTACACCAAAATAAATAAGGTGAAATAGTTGTATCGTTTCTACTCATTATACTTAATTGTTCTTTCTTCCATATCTCTTGCTATTTGATGAAAAAATCATAATTCTATTGTTGTATAATGATGTTCAGGACAACCGGAGTACCAATAATTGTAACAAAATCAAATTAATGGATATTCGACAATCAAAAAAGGGTCATCGCTCGGTGACGGAAGCTCATGATAAGAATAACAAATACCGTAAATTAGACACTGTTTGGGAATGACCTTGAAAGAAGAAAAAATATTGCAACGACGCTTGAAAATTCGCGAGACAACTACTAATCGCCTTCTTGCAAATACAAATCATATCAATCGCACTGGAACAATATCTCATATGGATGATGATGTTAATATTGGAGTGTCTTGTTCTTCTTCAGAAACAGGTTAGAATATCAAAGGCTCTATCCTTTTCGTTGCTTTTATAATATATACATACACAATGATTATTAATATGTCACCTTTACAACTATGACCATGCAGTTACTCGGTGTCGAGCTTTTTCGCCATGCGATGTCTTTGACAAGGAAAATGATATGACCCAGCCTTTTCATATTTTTGAAAAAGGTAAAACCATAAAGATGTAGTATCTATTTAACTTCTTGTACGTATTCTGCATATTAATTAATTGATAACTATCGTGAATCAGGTTCAACATCGGGTACCGCAAATGGTTCATGCGCTCCAACCTTTGAAACAGTTACAACTAAAGGTTAGTATAAGGATCATCCTTCATTGATTTCACCACTGAGTCTATTTTTATTTCTTACTATTAATTATCTGCACTATGCAGGCCGTGTAAAGAATAAGAGAACTACGATAAACATTAACCAACTACGCTCTGATTATATTCCGTTAAAAAGATCCCAAGTTGCTTGTTCTGCTATGCTAGAAAATTTGAATATGAACCCCCTGGATTTTGTTGTGGCAATGGTACAGTGAAGTTAAGCTCTCATCGAATGTCAGCTAAACTGAAAAATTTATATATGGGAAATAATGCAGAATCCAAGCGTTTTCCAACGTATATTAGAACATATAATAATTTGTTTGCTTTTACATCACTTGGTGTCTTATGAAAAAGATTTAGCCAAGAGAAACTGTGGTATATATACATTCAGAGTTCAAGGACAGATGTATCATTTGATAGATGATTTATATCCAAGAGAAAGACGACCAAGAAATTTGCAACTGTACTTTTATGATAATGCAAATGAGCTTGGAAATAGAATGGCTTGTTCAGACAAATTAAATGAATCATTAGTGAAAGAATTAATAGACATTCTAAAGGATAATCCACATTCAATATTTCTACGATCGTTAACAGATATGTAGAACTTACAAAACTTCCACATAGCATTGAAAATTGATGCTGGATTAGATCAACGTGTATATAATCTGCCTACTACTACTGAAATTGCAGCAATATGGGTTGATGAAAATGATAGTTCTGCTACTCGTGCGCCGCATCTTCAAATTTATACTCACAGCGACATGACACAAAGAGTTAATTATTATTTTGGATGCTATGACCCATTACAGTACCCGTTGTAATTTCCATATGGTCAAGGCAGGTGGCACTGTGGTATTAAAAAGTTGCCCAAAGCAAAAAAAAATCCTAGAAGCCACACTCTGATTGAATTTGAACAATTGCCGAGTATAAAAAATTTCACATCTGTTGATGGATATCTTGATATGGAAGCTCAAAATCTGCAAAAAGGAAAACGCAAAAGAGATATAGTTTTAGTTCGTGAATACTAATGTTACAAGCTTCAAATGAGAAATGATGATGAAGATGAAATTTTGCATACAGGAAGATTACTCCAGCAATATTCAGTTGATGAATATATAAAATTGGAGACACAAAGATTAGACTTTGTTTCATTCAATCAAGATTTATTCAGAATGGGTATACTGCAAGGACTTCTTGATATTCTAAGACTGGGTGAACGAGATGCTTCTAATGTTGGAAAACAAACTTCTCTGCCAAATTCTTTTATAGGAGGTCCTAGAGATATGCGTCAACGTTATATGGATGCTATTGCATTAGTGCAACGTTTCGGGAAACCTGATTTGTTTATAACTATGACATGTAACCCATCTTGGACGGAAATAAAAGACATCTATGGTCAGCTGATGAGGCACAAAATAGACCTGATTTGATTACTCGAGTATTCAGGGCTAAAATAGAAGAACTGAAGACGGATATATTGAAACAAAATATCTTTGGAAAAGTTATTGCTTTTATGTACACCGTGGAGTTTCAGAAACGAGGTTTACCCCATGCTCAATTTCTTATTATACTAGGTAATGAGCATAAATTGTTGACAACAGAGGCGTATGATGATATAATCAGAGCAGAATTACCAGATGATAAGGCAGAACCAGATTTGCGTAAGCTTGTCATTAAGCATATGATGCATGGTCCTTGCGGTAGTTTAGATCCAACAAATTCTTGCATGAAAAAAAAGGTTACTGCAAGTTCAAATATCCAAAAATGTTTGCCGATCAAACATCGAAAGGAAATGATTCTTATCCAGTTTACAGAAGACGAAATACAGGAGAAGTTGTGAAAGTAAGAGAACAATATTTAGATAACTCCTGGGTTATTCCGTACAATCCTTATTTACTTGAAAAATTCAATTGTCATATAAATGTTGAAGTGTGCTCCGACATCAAAGTCGTGAAATATCTTTACAAATACATTTGTAAAGGACATGACAAAATTGCGTTCTGTGTACAAAATAACGATACAAACATAGAGATAGATGAGGTAAAGGAATACAGATCTGCTAGATGGGTATCACCTCCAGAAGCCGTATGGCGTCTCTTTGGTTTTCCTATAAGCGAAATGTCTCCCAGTGTTTATCGTCTTCAACTACATCTTGAAGGTCAACAATTTGTTTCTTTTAAGAGCAACACACATATACATACAATTGTGAATAATCCGATGATCCAAAAAACAATGTTAACTGAATTCTTCTACATGAATGATACCGACGAAGATGCTAAAGAGCTCAACTTATTGTACAAAGAATTCCCTGAATACTTCGTGTGGTCCTCCAGTGACAAATTTTGGGCACGTAGACAAAAACGTTGTGCTGTTGGCCGTATTGTGACATGTCATCCAACAGAAGGAGAACGATATTATCTTAGATTATTACTAATGCATGTGCGAGGACCGACGTCATATAAGGATCTTTTGGCAGTAAATGGAGAGCCTTGTAGTACTTTCAGAGAGTCCGTAGAAAAAAGAGGATTATTGCACTGTGATAATAGCTTGATAGAGTGTATGTCTGAGGCCGCAAGTTACCAAATTTCATATAGTTTACGACGTTTATTTGCTACGTTACTGGTGTATTGTGGTCCTGCCAACCCTAGAAAATTATGGGAACAATTTGAAGAATCGATGATTGAAGACTATAAAGTGTTACAAACTATTGAAAGAAGAGAAATTCGATATCACGCTCTGAACCATATCAATGACATTTTATATTCCATGGGTCATGATGTAAATGAGTATGAACTTATCTCAGAAACTATCAGGCCTTCTACGGCAGCAAAAGAGGCAAAAGAGATTTATTTTGAAAGATCTATTATTGTTAGCGAAGATGACGTATTGTTGCATAGGAAATTAAACAAAAATCAATTGATTGCATATAATGTGATTACTGAAAGGATATTTTCAAATATACCAGGTGCATTTTTCGTAGATGGTCCTGGAGGAACAGAGAAAACTTTTTTGTACCGTGCTTTATTAGCAATTGTACGATCCATGGGATATATAGCTTTGGCAATAGCCACTTCTAGTGTTGCTGCTTTTATTCTCCCGGGAGGACGTACTGCACATTCACGTTTCAAAATTCCTATTGACATCGATGAAAATGCCAGTTGTAACATTAGCAAAGAAAGCGCACTTGCAGGTTTAATCCGAGATGCAAAATTGATTATATGGGATGAGGTATCTATGGCCAAAAAAAGAATGATGGAGGTTTTTGATCTACTCTTAAAAGATCTGATGGATACAAATGCATTATTTGGCGGAAAAGTTGTTGTTTTAGGAGGTGACTTCAGACAAAATCTTCCTGTTGTGCTCTACGGAAAAAAAAGAAGATTTCATCAACGAAAGTTTATTATATTCTAGCATTTGGAATGAACTTGAAAAACGAAAATTATCTGAGAACATGAGAGCAAAAACAGATCCTGCATTTTGTGATTATTTGTTAAGAATTGGAAATAGACAAGAACGAGTCAATTCAGCAAACAAGATTGAAATTCCAGATTCTTTGATTATTCCTTACACAACTGAAAAAGAATCCCTCGATAAACTATTCACAGCGACGTATTCAAATTTGGATTCATTATGCTCTAATTCATTTTGTACAGATTCGCGTGTGATCTTGACAATAATAAATGATTTCGTCGATGAAATTAATGACATGCTTATTGATCGATTTACTGGAAAATCAAAAATATTTATTGGCACCGATGAAGCTATTGAATTTAATAACCAAACACAATTTGAAGATCTACTACACACTTTAAATCCTCCTGGCTTGCCCCCTTATAAATTATGTTTGAAAGAGAATTGTCCAATTATATTATTGCGAAATTTAAATCCATGTGAAGGTTTATGTAATGGCACGCGATTGACTTGCTGTGATTTTAAAAGCCATGTGATCAGCGCTAAGATTACGACAGGTGATTTAAAAAATATGCACGTGTTTATCCCCAGAATTCCATTATTATCATCGCAGGATGAAAAAATGCCTGTGCAATTTAAAAGAACGCAATTTCCTGTTCGACTATGCTTTGCTATGACAATAAATAAAGCACAAGGCCAGACTTTAGATTTCGTTGGAATTTATTTGCGGGAACCTGTATTTTCACATGGTCAACTTTACGTTGCCTTATCGAGGGCAAAGAGTTTAAGTTGTGTGAAATTATTGATCCGACCGTCTATGCCAAGTACCGATGACGATCATTCTACCTCTAATATAGTATACGACAAAATTATTCAGAAGGCAATCCTTTGAGTTACAGGTTGTGATGTTTTTTCTTTATATTCTCCTATATCCTCTTTCTCATTGTTACTTTGTATAGATAAAGTATCAGACATGTATGCAATTATTTTCTTCGTGAATTGTGATTTTCTGATTTTCTATTCACTGGTAATGAATATGGTATAACCAAAGCTTTTATTATGTAGCTGCATTTTTACATTCAGTTTAATCATATAATGTAAAAAATATGCTAATGTATTCCCCTTCGTAGAATAGTTTATCTTTCATTAAGTAATTTTGATGTGTTAGATTTTTGAAAACTTAGTTATATTTCAAATTGGTACCCTTCTTGTGCTTTTACTTTGTCCTCCACATTTTCTCCGAGCAAGTAATTAACATTTTTATAACCTCACCGCTTCCTGATTTTCTCCTCTGTTCTCTTCGTCTTTTAGCTATTCTGTACACCTATCCTTTTCCTCCAACCCTTACTATAAATTCTCAACTTCTGGATTTGTTCTAATATCCACAACATATCTACAGTACTCCTTTTCGTACTTTACATAGAGCACTGAATTTCTTCGACTTCTCTGCTTCTTCTTAAAAAGGGTAAGTTTTTTTAGATGCTTGCTTATATTCTTCTTGTTTTCCTTTGATTATTTCACCTGCATGTTGTCTATATTGTGTAAAAATTGATGTCGATTGCTCCACTTTTAGATAGAATGATTTTTGTAGATTCCTTGAGTATCATATGACCTTTGGAGTCGCACAATTTTATTTCACGCTTTTATCTTCTGTCTTGGAACAGTATATTGCATCGTTAGCCTAAGCCTTCACATACTGTCATGAGAAACATGTAATTGTCACGACCCCAATCCCGGTCGTGATGGCGCCCAACACTAAGGCCAGGCAAGCCCGACCAATTTAAATACTCTCAACCCAAATACTTAATCCGTTAACAAATAATACGATTAAAATAGAAAATATCAAGGTTCCAATCCGAAACTAAATAAAATAGTACGGAAAATAATAACGAATATCCAAACATTCCCCAATAGATCTGGAGTCACGAGTCTAGAGCCTCTAGATGTAACAGCGTACTATATCCATAGTAATAAAGAAGTCTAGGATATGGAAAGATAAATGAAATAAAGGGGAGGAGTCGGGTCCTGCGGACGTCAGACAGCTACCTCAACAACTCCTGAAAATGAACTTCACGAAAACAGCAAACAGCTCCACTAAGTCTCCGGAGCACCTGAATCTGCACATATGGTGCAGGGAGTAAAGTGAGTACTTCCAACTCAGTGAGTAATAAACATATATAATGGCTGAAAGTAAGAAATCCCGAAGTATTACAATATAAAGATATAATCAACGATTCAGCACGTTAAACGATGAAACAACAGCAGACAATGACAATTAAGACCAACAGATATAAAATGCATGAATGCAATGCAATGCACATGACCGCTGCGGCGCGCAGCCCGATCTATTTGGGTACCCGCGCTCACTGTGGGGGTTCAGACTCCGGAGGGGCTCCTACAGCCCAAGCGCAATATCATAGTAGCATTCGCTGCGGCGTGCAGCCCGATCCACACTCGGGCACAGTCAACTTATTCATTTTAGTTTCAATTATTAGGAATTATAGAGCTAAATGTTTAAACCTTTATTTATGTACTAGTCATTTCGAGGCAGTGTCTAACTCAGGACTAATATCATGAAATATGCTAAGCATCATGGAAGCAGTGATAAGGATCCCTGAAGGATGCACATGATAGGCACAAAGCCCCAAACAATTCATAAAATCCAAGTAGGATGATTACCAAATAATTTCTAGTCAAGAACGCAGTACGAACATAATTCGGAACGGACTAGGTCACAATCCCCAGTCACAATCGACCCCGCACTCGTCATAGAGTACGTGTCTCGCCTCAATATAGCGTCACAATGTGATATACCGGGGTTTCAAACCCTCAGGTCATCATCTACATCTATTACTCACCTCAAGCCGGCCACAAGTCTAGTTCGCTATGCTTTTACCTTTCGAATCAACCTCTTCGCACGCCGAATCTGATTAAAACCACAAAGAATACATTACAATAGGCTAAAGAAACATAACCCAATCGAAAAGACTCGAAAAACACCAAAATTCACTAAGTTGGCAAAACCCGAGCCCCGGGCCTACTTCTCGAAAAATTACGAAATTTACATCACTGGATTCCTCGTCTCGCCACGAGTCTACACACACCAATTTTACCAAAAATCGGAGTTCAAATGCCCTTTCAAAATCCATTTTTACATCACAGCTTTCCAAGCCCTAGCTTGACCCGTTTTTGGATGAATTTTCCACAATTTACATGTAATTTCTACCCTAAACTCGAATAATTAGGCCAAGAGACTTACCTCCAATTGATTCTCAGTCAAAACCCTCGAAAATCCTCGCCCAAAGCTCTCCAAGTCGCTTAAAAATGGGGGAAACTACCTCTTGTTCGCGGATGAAATAAATCTTTTAAACCTTTCTGCCAACAACGATTTTCGCTTATGCGGTCCCGCTTCCGCTTGTGCGGGACCGCTTGTGCGGCCAAAAATCCGCTTATGCGGTCTTCACTTAAAAACCCGGACTTCGCTTATGCGACTCGAACTCCGCTTCTGCGGTTCCCTCAAAACCGCTTCTGCGGTACAATGTCCGCTTATTCGGACCCGCTGAAGCGACCAACTTCCGCTTATGCGGAACTACCCTAACCCACACCTGGCCGCTTCTGCGACCGCTCACTACGGAACCGCTTCTGCGGTCCATTTCCGCAGAAGCAGAAATACCAGATGACAGCAACAACAAACCTGAAGCAAACTTCAAAACTCTCGTTCAACCACCCGAATTCACCCCGAGGCCCCCGGGACCTCATCCAAAAACACCAATACATCCTAAAACCTCATTCAAACTTGTTCTCATCCTCAAAACACATCAAACAACGCTAAAATCATCAAATCACATCGAATTCAAGCCTAAGTTTCTTAAAAACTTCCGAATTACGCATTCGATAAAAAATCCAACCAAAACACCTCCGAATGACCTGAAATTTTGCACACATATCTAAAATCACCTAACGGAGCTACTGCAACTCTCGGAACTACATTCCGACCCTCGGATCAAAATCTCACCTATCCACCGGAATTCGCCAAAATGCCAACTTTGCCAATTCAAGCCTAATTCTACTCCGGACTTCCAAAATCACTTCCGATCGCACTCCTAAGTCACAAATCACCTCCCGAAGCTAACCGAATCACCAGAATTCACATCCGAGCCTTCTAACTAATAAGTCAACATTCGGTTGACTTTTCCAACCCAAACCTTCCTTAAAGGGACTAAGTGTCTCATTTCCTATCCAAACCAATTCAATTCAACTCTAACTCACCCGTTGTAGATAATATAACATGAAAGAGCAATAAATGGGGGGAACGGGGCTGTAATACATGAGACGACGGGTTGGATCGTCACAGTAATACACAGAGATATCAAACCGGATAATCTTTTGGTTGGTGTACAGGTATATATTTAGCATTTGCAAATAGCTTATAATATGCATTACAGCTTAAATGATGGAACTCAAATTAATTATTTTTAATATTTACGCTTTCAGAATGAACTCAAAATTGCATACTTTGGATGGTTAGTGCATATCTTTAACTGGAAGCGGACTATAGGTCGCACTGAGAGATACATTATGTTAGTCGAAAGCAGACTAGCTTCGTGTTGTACGAGATATGCTGGAAGTTTCATACAGAAGTTCCATATTAGCATGGCTTCATGCGGTATCCTTTTTCTTGTTCTTTTTAAACAAAAATCTTTTATTTTCACATGGCATGTGTGGGAATTAGCTTAGCAAATCTTTAACTGCTTTTACATGTTTTAGTGTTAATCCAATTATTTACCTAAAACTATTGCAATATTTCATAGTTCCTCAAATTCCTCCTTCTCTGATGGTGTACAAATCAACACATCGCAACATTGTCTCTATTATTTTATAACTCGACACACCATATCACTCGCAAAGTGCCAAGTCTTTGTGCCATAAGTGATCAAAGGAGCTCTCAAATCTGAATAGCCTAGCTGTGACTTGCGAGACAAGAACACTACATTATCTCTTTCTTTGCATATCTTTCTATTTTTCCTTTCAGTTCTGGATTATTCACTGTGAATTTTCCTATTCGCACCTACAGAAAATTTATTTATCTTTATTCTATTTTATTGTGTTGGTAATCACAATTTTGGTTGATAAATGTTAATTTTCAGTTATTTTGAATAATTTTGGATAATTTTTAAATACATGTTAGTAATTATTCCTGATTTGCACACATCTACTATGCTTTTTTGATAAAATTTATGTTTTGGTACCAACTAATCACTGTTAGGAGACTTGTTCTTTTTGATATTTGAGAATATAGTAAACCACTCCTACTGTCTGCTTTACTTTGGAAACATTTTTACAAGTGAATTTGTGTTTCATTCCACAGAACTAAACTAGCACATTCTCCTTCCTATACTTCAAATGAAAATTGGATATTTTCACACGTTAATGCACTGTGTTTGTGGTGGTGAGATTTTTCTGTTAGACACAAAGTTAGTTTAGACATGAAATGTTTGGGATATCTTATTAGTTGCACAGAGATTGATTATGGGATTTCATAGTGGGAATACTCTTTTGATTTGGTGAACTTTTGTAGAATCCAGGACTGTTGGGTGCAGCTCAATCTTTGACGTTACTAACATGGTTGCAGTGGTTAAATATTTTCTTAACAACTTTTGGATTGCAAATTTGCAGGTTCTCCTTCTCCTCTTACACCTGCAAGTTGCCGTTACGACAGTTCATTGGGTATTTAACGATTTTTTGCCCATGCATTGGTTTGTTGTTAATTTATTTATGGGAAGCGCGACTTTATGGTGGAATAAACCCATAGATTGAGCCACTGTCTTCAGTTCAGGTCTTCTAGCCAAGAAATTTATCAACTTGATCAAGCATGCTGAAGATGGTATGCTT